GAGAAAATGTATAGACACATATTGCACAGGCCTACGCTAGAACACACACTCCACCAAGCGAAGGGTAAAGAGAATGAAGAAAACTTGCATGAAATGGCTCGTAGGCATAGAACATGTAAAATCATACAACACAAACGAACTTAGGCACAAAACCATAGGTAATATTTACACAACCGCCAAAGCGCAGAATAGGTATGAATAAGAGCTGTCCGACATAACCCATGTTTGAATATATATGGAAAGAGAATATTCATTTTTTTTTGAAAATAGGGTAAAATCGAATGCCACGCCTATAAAAATTGTATAAAACTATTCAGGAGACGTACAAGGGGAGATGAATGCATATTTTTGATACATTTATATAAAAAAGATTATATATTACATTTCAACCAAACCATTTGTTTGAATATATATGGAAAGAGAATATTCTTTTTTTTTTGAAAATAGGGTAAAATCGAATGCCACGCCTATAAAAATTGTATAAAACTATTCAGGAGACGTACAAGGGGAGATCTCGACGGCTGCTTTCTCTTTACTTATTTAGTGCTGCAATTCAATATCTTTGCACGCAGTGTGTTGACTAACCATCCAATAATCCCGACATAATCTTTAGTAAACAAAACCAATGATTTTGTTAACAAAGAATAACTTGTGTGTAATCGTTTGTTAAAATATCTTTACATATTTATATAAGAGATGCACGAGCGCTTTTTTGTACGTATGTAAGAGATGACAAGAGTAATTTTGGAATTTTTCAGACTAAAATTATGCGATGAGCTGATACAACATATTTCATTTATTCCCATCCTTTGAATTTTTTAAAGGTGCTGCCTGCCGTATACAAATTCTTCGGTCATAGTTATCTTTGCAAAGCGTTGTGAAAACGAGAACAAAATTAATTTCACTTTAAATCATAGCTATTGCTAATAAGAGTCAAACAGGGATTTAATCTCTGACTGCATGACTTGCCTTTAGAGGTTCAGTTATAGTTTTGGCACTTGCGAGTTGCATTAAAACTCTGCGCAGATGCCTTAATTTGCTTCGTTTTCTTCATCTCAGCTGTTCGCCAAAGCAAAAGTAAAAGGTCTTACTATCTATCAGGTTCAAAAATTACAAATCAATTAGCTTCTCATGGCCTGGTGTTCTTAATGGAATAGAATACAAGAATATATATATCACTACAGAAAAGTGTAATGAAAGAGAACCGCTTACCAATTAATATCAAAAATTTCAACGCCTAGCAGCAGGACAAGCGATTAAAAAGAAAACTAAAGTCCAATTTCTCTCCCTTCAGTTCTCACAAAATTTATCAGAATTTTTACATCACATACGCCGTTTCTCAACACTTATGAAAACATTTTGTCTTTTCATAATGGGGCTAATCACTCAGTGTCTTCAAAACCGAGGGCAAAAAAAAAGATAGCTAGGTGGTGGCCCATCAGTAGTTGTAGCTTCTATTGGATGGAAATTCACTATTGTCACGACCAAAAGGTTGACTTGAACCGCGCAGAGACTGACTTCATAATGGTTATTCTTAACTACTTATCTGGATAGTAATAGCAACTGGGGTTTTAATTTATTTATTTATCTGTTTATTTATTTATTCTACTTATACAAGAAACTCATCGCGTGTTATGCTGTTATTTAATGAATGTTGGGTAATTACTTGATTGGAGTTCTTGTGAGCTGGTCTTGATTTCCTTACTCGCGTGAATCGATTGGTGGCTGATCTGCAGTGTTTTATTAAATCCTAAATTTGCGAGTTAGGAATACGTGTCTGAAGTGTGAGTAATGATGGGCCTCCATTTTCATTTTGCTATATATGAGCTCTTATGGCACGGGAGAAGCCAAAAACTTGTGAACTAATGTAAGCATGACGAATAGCTAAGGTGCGCCCGTCCTTCTGCTCGGTATATTCGACAATTTCATCAACTTTCTGTAAGAAAAATTTGTTATTCCCCAGTTTACAATGCTTTGAAGCGAAGTGAAAAACATACCATAATTTTTTTCATGCCAATGTTTCGCGTGAATGTGGTTAAAGTTTTGTTCTTCGGATCCAAAATAGAATCTTCAATTATTTTAATTGGAGTATTTTTATAAAAACGTTCACCCCATTTAGGCACATGATTAGTTTTAGAGAGTAAGGTTTTCTTTGAGGTTTAAAATAAGAACAAGGACATATGCGGCGCATCGCACAGACTCGTTCAGTTTGGTGTCATAGCCGTCTAGTGCTCGCGATATTAAAAACGTAACGGAAAAAAAGAAGTGCAAGTAAAACGAGGAAACCAAAACAAGCCGGTAATAATACGACAAGTCGGGACACCTCGCTGGTTCCTTGCCCCAGCCAACTTCTACCAATCGCTGTACTTCCCTCCCATAAAAAGGAACGAATAAATCCAAGGAATCATACACCATTCCCCCCGAAGGTCCGGATTTTTAATTAGAAATTTCTTGCAACGAACCTTGGAGTGACTGAGTTCTACCTCGCCCAAGAAAGCTCGTTACAACTTATTGGATTCAAAGCATCTCAAATAAATTCCCTTCTTTTTGGCATTACGGCGGCGAGGTATACTTTACCGCATCCACATTCATCCTGCTGCTCTCCTAAAATTTTGAGAAATACAAAATTAAATACATTACACTGAAAGACCGAATATTGCATATCAATTCACCTTCGTGTGTTTCCAGTTGTGCTCATAAATTGAAGAAGGGAACAAAATAATTTTGCGGAGTCCAATAAATTACAACATCATGAATTTATTTAATAATAATTTAAAAAAATAACCAAAAAAAAACCCGGAGATGATACCGGAAAAAAAACAAAAAAAAGTATTTAATATATTAAAACAATTAAAGCTTCTGTTCTGTTTTTATTTTTTGCACCAGAATTAATGTTAATGATTATGTATTATATTATAAATTTAATACACACTTGATGTTGTATGCCACCAATATGAAAAATGAAAAAAAATAATGTGACGGCTAAATGCAGGAAACTATTCTAAAGAATTAGATTCCATTTATGAAACTGCATTTTCTCTCTTTTAAACTGAACTAAACGTGAATAAATGGAACTGAAAATACTGAATATCACTTATCCATTTATTTATATTTTATATTGTTATTACTTTGTTATTTCTATTTATTGTTGCAATTTCTACTTTTGTGAAGTTTTTTTAATTTGCAATTTTGAGAATCATATACTCCGTGAAAATGAATTATTTGTAGCGAAAATGTGTTCTAAATTAAAAAGCAGCGTTATATGAATGTATTGGTTCTATTATAAGAAGGCTATTTTATAAGGAGGCACCAACGAGATTCCCAGCGAAACTGTGTGCATCTCAGATGAGTCTCGTTGATAAAAAATGATATTCTAAATAACAAGAAATGCACTTACCAGTCAATGCACTATTTTTCTTTTAAAATTTTTTTTAAAATATACTTTACAATTTTTTAATCAATTTATTAAATGTATATATATTAGAACTAGAATTTTATACAGTTATATCCTCTTATGGTCGGTTATGCAAGCCGTTTTTTGCATTACTTAGCTAAAGATTGTTTGACTTTACGTAGTTGTTGTCTCTTAATGGCTGTTATTTTAAATGTAATTATATTCTGTAAAGCGGCGAGCTTGATGTATCAGGTGACACAACGTATTTTTAACGATGCTACGAAAAGTTGGAATGCTACTCTATTAATTCTGCTTTAATCCAGCTTTCGTGGGAGAAGTTGTGGAAGAAGGTTCGTAAAAGACGCACAACATGACTTTAATTCATTGGGAACTTTATTTAGCTTTAGACGTTGTGGAAGAGATGGATGACGCTGGCGCATTACAACCAAAATATCTTCGGGACGCTGTCCGACGTTTAAGGCAACGTCAGCGAATGCCGATAGGCAAATTTTAAAAACCGTACTATCGTTTAAACTAATATATGATTACCATAAAAATGGAACAATAATCTTTTTATTTATTCATTTACACCTAACGTTTCTGTACAGTGAAAATTCACCCCGAGCGCCTTGAAATTCTGAAGAGATAGCAAGAGACAAAATTAACAATTTGAGTCCCAAGCTTAATACCAATACAAGTTAATGTTAAAATACAGACGGGAGTGGAAGAATTGACGGGCCATATAACCGGCGATATCGAATTGCACTTGACGCCCTATGAATTGGACAATTGTTCGGTCGTAATTGATGGCGACAATTTAGCTTACAATTTATATAAAGACGCGAGTAATCCTTGTTTTACGGTATGAGGATTCCTGATTCTCAAACAGAGAATCCCAAACATAATGCATCTTCTTCCCTTTTAACTTACTATCCTTCCATGTTAATTAGATTATAATTGACCAATTAACTAGGACGAAAACTTACAACCTTTGTTCAAGATCAAATTATCGATAAATATTTGTTTACTTTCGAAATACGAACAAGTAACTAATGAATGCTTCGCTGTATGTATATATTTGTATTCGTTCTGGAGATCGAAAGAGAGAGATTTTGTTGGAATGCGGAACACTGGTCTAGCGTATGAGTGCGTCTTTGAAAAAGTCGTTGCGAGGTGATGGCCGTAAAGTTTTCCTTTTTGCTTGCGAAAATTAAAATGTGCTTAGGAACTTACCACCAAATTTTGAGGATAACCCAATGCTTTCGTCTTTTTCAATAGCAATGCCATCCGCTTCTTTCATTAATGTCAAATTATCAAAAGGTTGTGGTTTCGCGTCCAATTGTAAGAACTCTTTCGTTTTATTAGCGGATTTTTGAGTTTGCTGTTCTCAGACGGTGCATACTATCGGTGAAGGAGCCAGAAGAGATGCTTTCAGTGAGATTAACTTGATTTACAAAAGTTGTTTCTGGTTTAGCAATTTCTTTGACAATTAAAATTACTCCCTCTTCGTTGTCTCTTTCATTCAAGTCATTTCCCACTTGTCTTTCTAAGGTAGATCAGATGTTGCCGAAATTATCTACCGTTCCTAGGTGTGGAGCTTGATATACATGACGCTCTTCGGAGACTTTACGATGCCCATCCCTATCCAGGACTTCTATACTGGATTGGCTTGGATTTGATGATATCTATATCACTTTCGCCATTTGTTTTTGACTTTTCAATTCTATTGTTATTAAGGTTTGTTGAGCTGGCTATAAAACAGGACTGATTGGAATTAAGCGAACTGTCTGAATTGTTAGAAGTGATTTGTAGAGTAGCCGAAAATGATTTGAAGAATTGGCAGAACCTGAAATGGAATGGTAAAAAAGAAAAAGGTGAAATTAATACTTTAAAGGATGCTTTCGGTATCCTACACCACTCGTAAGAGCGATATGTAAAACTTCCGCGAATACATGCAAAAAGCCCACAACAGCGTGAGATTGTCCCAGGTTTAAGTACACCAATCGAGTTAGAGTCATTTTCTCTGCGTCTGTTTGTCTATTTATCTTTTATTCTTGGTCAATACATGTACAACGAAATTTGGTGCACTATGTTTAAACTCAGGAACAATGCCATTGAAGGTAGGGAAGGCAATGGCGCATTTCTCGCAAGTTTTCACACCCATAAGCGCTAATTTCAAAAAAAGATTATATAAAAAATCTTCCACTTTTAATATCCCTCGAGAAAAACCAGTTTATATCTTTATGAATTCGAAAATATAATGGACTTTATTTCTAAAATTTTAAGTATCATGGAAGAAAAAATTGATACAAACTTGACTGAATACAGTCAACACTTTTTCTTATTGTTGAAAAAATTTTATAATTTTTTTTTATATGAGTTTGGAGATAGGTGTACGCGTGCTCGTGTGTCTTCGACAACGAGACGCATTTAATTAGAAATAAAAAAAAGCTGCACAAAACATGAAATATTACAAACAAAACTAATGATCTATTTTTTAGTTACCCAATTTAACTTTAAAGTCTTACGTTTCTCCACAGACTTACCACCATCCTTACTAACGTTGACACTCTTCACGTTTCGTTGGCGCCTTTCGTAACCACTTCGTCTTGACCGCCTTTTGGCACCAATGTCACTGTTATTATTCTTGGCTTGCTCTACGTCGTCGCCCTCTCCTTTCCCTGCCACTGCGTTATATTTGTCAAATCCTCTTTTTTTAACGAAAGCGTGACGTCTATTCTTCGTTACACTTTTTACGTTAAATTGTTGCTGCTCTTGAAGTGTTAAGACTTCCATAGATTTAAGAAACGATTTGTTTGGATTTCTTTTTAAATTCCTCACCCCGGAAAGATCCATGCAGACGACACACATGATATGCACAAAATCTTGATTCATGCTCAATGTTTGGGCATTTCCAATACTTACATCGAAGCTTTTTTTAGGAAAACATTTATCCACTAAGTTGTGACATCCATTCAAATTAATTTGAATTAATACACTTGTCTTCTCGCATTCTGCTCTCTAAGTCCTCTTATGTGGTACCCACATCAATGCCATGCATGTAACTAAAGTCCCCTACAACGTGACGTCTGACATATTTCATTTGGAACTAAGCCACTTAGCTTCTCGCATTCTACTCTCTAAATTCTTTTACATAATTTATAATTTAAATTAATACACCAAGTCGCGGTGTCTACCATGTTCATTTTAGAGTCCACCCAGTTTTAGGCAGATAGTATATCTTCATTTGTGGAATATAGGAAAATAGTTTTAAATAGTCTGTCTTGCTTACCTGATGATTAACAAACATGAAATCCCAAAAAAGTGAAAAAATAAAATTTAATCATGTGGGCATGGTCGATCTTTTTCATTTTTGCATATAAAGATTACAGTGTTTCGTAAAATAAATGAAGAAATTATGAGTCTCCTAACTTTTAAAATTTTTGTGTAACGAGTAAAAACCCACCACTTTTTGTTAAGAAAAACAGAGTTGCGTTTAATTTATGCTCCACTGAGGTCTTCTGTTCTGAACAATTTGGCCCATTTTCGATACCAACCTGCATGCGAAAACCTGCAATGTTTTTAGCAAATTTGAAGTGGATATCTTCATTTTGGTGACCAGGAAAGTGCCAAAAACATACACCACACAGACGGACAGACATAGCCTAATCGTTTCAGAATTTCATACTGATCAAGAATATGTATACTTTATAGGAACTCTGAAGCTTCCGTTTGGAAAAGGACAAAATGATTACAGCCACATCCTTCAGTGGTAGGCAGAGAAAGTAATTCATCTTTTTCTTCTTCTTCTAAAGCGGAAAACCTATTTATTATATTTTTTACCACATTTAGATGGAAATGGAGTGCATTTTTTCATTTAAATGGGGTACTGCGTTTGTTATCAGCGTAAAAGTAAAGCAATTGAACTCTAAGGTTAGAGCATAAATCGATTTACTAAAACTATATATGATTCAATTATATACAATGAAATAAATTCGTTCAATACATACGTTCATGAAATGATTTATTGAGAAATGTTCTGCAAAAAGTCTACACATACCACCCGCATCTATATCCGAAATTATCAGCATTACAAAAACTCATTGCCATTGAATAAGTGAACATTTTTAGTCTCTGGATTATTTCCGCTGGCGTCTTCTTTTTTTATAATTTTTCTACATTCATATGGCATAAATTTCATATTTTATTTTTTTTTTCTGATGTGATTACTAACAAAGGAAAGACTGACTGACTTTAAAAAAAAATATTCATGCTGTAAATTTTAATTGGAAATTAGTCTTCTCTCTTTAATCACTCAGTTCAGTTGTTAGCTAAGCTAAGCTAAGCTACTAATAAATACGAACACAGGAAAACAGAGAATTAATATATATTATATTAAAATATCGGTAGCAATCATTTCAAATGCTAATGTTTGTTTTTTAATAAATGTGATAATTTAACTGATGGTGCGTGGCCTATATTATCGTTTCGGATAATTGAACAGTAAACTGGGTTTCGAATATTTATGTTTTGAAACATACGGAACATTTAATAAAAATTTTGCGCGTACTTCTATGCAGAGAGAAATATTTGATTTTGTATGAAATATTAAGCTTATGTATACAATTTAACCACCATTTTAATTGATTTGATTTCATTGAAATAATCAAAATGATGACACTACCACAACATTTACTGCCTTCGTCTATTAGTAGCTTTTGTTGCACATTATTAGTAGCGCAGTTATTTCAGTTGAGTGTTGCACCCGCACAGCGCATCGTATAAAAATTTCTTTTCACGCAATTTCCTCGTGGACCCTCTGTCCTGCCGATTTATCATCAATTCAAAGTGCTTTTCAGTCCGTGATCAAGTCTGCTAGAACCAACTTTTCTGATATTGAGTCCATCTCACCTAAACCTATTCTCTGTTCCAAGTGTTAATCTAATTACAATACCTTCAATTCCTTTTAGGTCACCTCAACCATACCCCCCATTTAATTTTGTAAGCTAATGAATGTTTTACATTTCAGAAAGAGGGCTTCGACTTCATTCTTAAGGCAGATAAAGACTTAAATGATTTAAATAAATTCACACCAATTTCGCTAATATCTCTATGCATAGAGATTATCAACCTCATGGTTAAAGAGAAACTAATGAATTTCATGAAAACTGGGATCATTATTCCAGTTCGTGCTTACACCTATCAAAAACTCAAATATACGAACATATGCGTTAATGAAATACCTTTTCTCATAGCTAGTTTAAAAAAAGCGGGGAAAATAGCAGTTATCCTATCCCTGAACATCAGTGAAGCCTAGGATTGTATCAACTTAAGAAAGCTTAGATTGTGTAAACTTGGCAGAGTTCTCTTAAACTTTTTATTGCCTGTTCAAACACGTTTATGGATACAAAATTTTTTATCCAATGTTTACGCAGTTTTTCGCATGGTCTTCAAGATTACAAAGCTCGTATTTTTCAATATGCAGATGACTTCCTAATTGTGTCTGCGGACTCATCTTTTCGGTGGCTGTGAATCTTTCGATGCATGCGCCGATCTTAATTTATATTTTAACCCCAACAAAACAAATACTGTTTATTTTGCCAACAGTTCTAAACAAAATCAGGCCCTTTATCAAAGGAACTAAAACTGACCAGGAAGAGTTCATATTCGATAAACACGATGTTGTTTCGACACCAAAACTTAAATCTTACGGTTTCCCACACCACCTTAGAGGTACCGTGTGGGCGCGTTGCCAATTGTTTTAAATGGTTGGCTCCACTGTAGGCCTACACCATTATGAATTGAGCTTAAAACTATAATAATATTTACAATAATAACGATAAGTAAATAAAA